ATGATCGAAAATAGTCGGCAAACATCTTGAGAATCAAAGGGACTTCGGTACCATTCGTTATTAAATTCAGGCTGCGATGTGCAAACGTATAAGCGTCATACAGTAGTCATTCATTAAATTTGCTGAGTCGATCAACGCGATTTGCCTTAGCCCGAATTTAGCGACGGGTAACTTGATCAACATAACCAACTATCATACAGCGTGTCCTACTGAGTGCACAAGAAACCATCAGCATCAAGTCATCCGTTCGCTTCTTATTCTTTATTGCGATATTTAGTTTTGTTTTATTTAAAAACATTGCTTGATAAGGGGTGTTTTTGCTGGAGCTCCACCTTACTACTCTGAGGGTATGGCATCGGAAGTCACATCAAGTAAATCATTTCAAACGGGCAGTTTGAATAAACCTACCTGTATGAAGAGAAAAGGTAGAAGAAAACGCTTCCTATCCTTTAGGACTGCAACGAAAAGCAACACGACGCAGATGATTTCCGCTAACACATGCACAATCTTCAAATAATACTCTAGTAAAAATAATGCGATCTACACACCAATCACTTACGTAAAAAGTTGACAACTGAAGATGATCTTCAGAAAAAGAAATCACTGCATGCAGCAACTCTACCACCTTGATTATAGCAGTAACAACGCAAATCATCAATGTTCCTTGCTAGAAAGAACATAGTCTGAGAGAATATATGCAAACTTCTAGGCAGATCGGAAACTTACCTTCACATGTATCGTATCACAGCAGCATTTGTATTTCGGACTAAAATGTGGAAATGCTGCAGTACCACGATCAGTGTCGAGATTTTTAGTTGCCATTTCTAAACTCGAAAATGGGCTGATAATCAAGCGAAACTCTTACGATGCAAAGCATCAGCGATCGAGTACAAATATGCCATCCTATGTACATAAACACAATTCATGAATACAGAATTCGTTGATGAGCTATGAAACCTTCTACAGTGTAAGCTCTTAGATTACGAATCTCAAAGGAAGAAAAATTATTACGCCTAAACGTCCTAGGACAGGGATATGGTCAAACTTCAAAACCACCTAGATGGTGAGGTGCTGTGCAAGACAATCAAATCCTTTTGCTTTCTTCGGCTCATCAGAAGCCTAAGCAGAAAGTTTTCCTCAAGACCACTCATGATCTATTTAGTGTGAAGCAGAATAGCAGGCTGGGAAATGCCCAAAAAAACTCAATAGGCGATCAGAAACAGAATGCCTTTCTTAACAGTCATTAGAATATATAGAGTGAGACAGATAATGATCATGACTACTCATTGAGAAGGTGGAAAACATGAATGGTGCTGAATCAGTACAAAAAACATGCGAAGAGAGAAATAGGTTTTGTTCATACAAATTTGTCCCCCTTGACTGCTACAAAGCAAAGATGCTAAGATGGTTCTCATAATTCACTTAATTATTCTCGCATTTAATATTGTCGTTGAGTAAGCTATAGTACTAAAGCGATAAAATTATTTTCCAAAAAAGCGAGATACAAATAACCTAGATCAAACAGGCGTTTATGGAAAGTTGCAATTAGAGGATCGGATGCATCAATGAACCGGATCGATGAATAATAGCGAAAAAGAAAAAAATAAGGGCGGCAATGCTTATGCAATTAGAAGCAGACAAAGAACTGATCATAGCAGAGTCAGGTACAGTATTAGACCTGCTACATGCATACAAGGAAGCGAACGGAGCAGTGCACGCTCACGTATTTGGCGAATTCGTTCCGATCAAGTGTCGAAAAAGGTGCCCTATGTATAGGGCCTTGGAAGATCGAAAGTAGTTTGAACGTTTGAGAGTCAAGTGACTTCAGCAAACTCTAACACTTACAAAGCACATCAAGGAAATGAACTATTAAAGTGCAACATCAAAGCAGATTGATGAAGATCACAAGCTGGGCCGTCAATGCTCTATATTTATGTACGATCAACGACGGAGTATTGTAATGTTTTCTTCAAATATGCCGAAGCGCATGAGTAAATGTCTATGAAATTGTCTGCAATATCATAGAGGTTGTGACACACAGAATACCGGTTCTACGCACCATTAAGCGTATGTGTAGTTCTAGGACGGAAACAATGACCCATACTGATCTTTTGAACTTGCGAATACTTAGCGGCTATTTAGATAACTTATAGTGGTGCCGATGATAATCGTGGAACAAGCATTGTTTTAGTGAAGCTATATTGTCGGTACTGATTTTAGCATGAATGGTAAACTGCAGCCTCGACACTTTTGATACAAATTAGTTCTGCCAGATTCCGATCCCATAAATTGTCAAATTCGTGAAACGATACAAAAACGCTCCATAAATGGGAGTTAACGAAATGTTCATTCCATACATAAAACAAATAAACAACTTGAGAATGGGCGCCTTGCCTTAAATCAAATGACGAATGACTTCACCATTTTAAACGCTTTTGTAACTTCCAAACAGCTTTTTCTAGAGCTGGAAGGCTGACATCTACAGCATTCAAACGCATGTGACATATTGTTGACCGAGACGCTCTTCAAAAAGTGCACGTTGATCGAATGACCTTCACTAGGAAATACGCGAAGGTGTGATCTTTTGAACTACAACGCACTAGCACCCCAGTTTTCCATTTTGTTTCAGGAAATCTAAGACCATTGTCTGTGTGCGAATATGCTCTTCATATTTGTTTAGGTGTTTCCTCCTGTTCATAAGCACACTACCTCACAAAATGCTTCAACACCCCTCACAAAAAAA